CCCTTGTTTTAGCACTTCCCCTTATTTTAGCATTTCCCCTTATTTTAGCACTTCCCCTTATTTTAGCACTTCCCCTTATTTTAGCACTTCCCTTATTTTAGCAATTCCCCTTATTTTAGCACTTCCCCTTATTTTAGCACTTCCCCTTATTTTAGCACTTCCCCTTATTATAGCACTTCCCCTTATTATAGCACTTCCCCTTGTTTTAGCACTTCCCCTTATTTTAGCATTTCCCCTTATTTTAGCACTTCCCCTTATTTTAGCACTTCCCCTTATTTTAGCACTTCCCTTATTTTAGCAATCCCCCTTATTTTAGCACTTCCCCTTATTTTAGCACTTCCCCTTATTTTAGCACTTCCCCTTATTATAGCACTTCCCCTTATTATAGCACTTCCCCTTGTTTTAGCACTTCCCCTTATTTTAGCATTTCCCCTTATTTTAGCACTTCCCCTTATTTTAGCACTTCCCCTTGTTTTAGCACTTCCCCTTGTTTTAGCTCTTCCCCTTATTTTAGCATTTCCCCTTATTTTAGCACTTCCCCTTATTATAGCACTTCCGTTTCCGTTTATTTTTTTATAACGTTCATGATTTACTTATTTTTTGTTGCACATTTTTCACATCGATCCAGTCTACTGCTTCTGTAACAAAATGACAAATTAAAAATATGCCAAGAATGTAATGAAGGGACGCAACTGGAATGAACTTGATCGATTATCCTGAAGCTTTGCCCGAAAGACAAGGCAAATGGGAGGACTACAGTCATGGAGTCGTAGATCAAAGACTATGTTTTTGTTTTAAATAATTCACTGGAAAAAAAAAATCTTTTTAAAATTTAAAAAAAATTATTTAAAAAAAGGTAAATTACAAATTAATCATCCTGTAAGAATTTGTACCTTACTGCACCTCGCAATGTGCATTAAATTAATGTATGTTCACAAGAAAATGTATTCCTTCATTAATTATTGTGGAGACCGAATTTCGATCGAGGCTAATAATATTCAAACTATTTATAGCCCGCCAAACATTGGCGGCAGCAATACCTGAACTTCCCATCTACTCAATTTACTTGACAGAACATGACCTCCAGTAACGCACCTTTAAGAATCCCGAATTTCCCTCTTTGATACGGCACTGCTCATTTTTTTTTTTATTTCACGCCCATGAACTCCATCGAATATTCTGATGTCCCAGCCCCTTTTAAACTGAATTTTAATTACACCATATTTAAATTGAGAGAAACATTGCGCTTACCGTAGTTATCGGGAATTTATATTTTGCGCGCTAGTGAACTCACTATTAAACCACACTTGCTTTCAACATAAAGAATTATATGGTTACCGGAAATTTGTGTGAAAGAGATTTCGCCGACGGAAAATTGATCGACTGAAATTTGATCGAACGGAAGTTTGCTCGAATTTTTTTCTTCATTTCACACGATCAAATTTTCGTCAAATTTCTTTTTGAACTCACCATACTATATATTAAAACAAAATAATTATTTCAAAAAGAAATTTGGCGCAAAATTTTAACGTGTGAACTAAAAAAAAAAAAGAAAAAAAGATTTGACCAAAACTTCCGTTCGATAAACTTTTCATCGATCAATTTTCCGTCGACGAAAATTCGTACAAACAAATTTGTGGATACGGAATTATTTGTAATATACTCTCAATACCAAATTCGCTGTTTAGTAAGCAGCCAACTTGTTAGGAAGCAGCCGAAAAATGGAAGCAGTCCACGAGTCACACCAGACGTGTAATATAGGTAAGAGATGGAGCTCACTACACTCTCGTTTCATAATCTTTTCTTCTCCTTTTTTTTAAACAAATTAATAAAATTGACAAAAAGTCATTTGACCTTATCTTACGAAATGAATGCAACGAATTTAGTGGAGCTATATAGTATGCGAGAACGGGTAACACAGTGTGCAGAGATCAGTCTTTACATACTTAACGTTGAATATTCAAATGGCTTCATAAAAGGAATCAACATTTATGCTCGCCTTGTTCATTGTCCGCGTCACTGACCGGTTCACTGTCCGTGTCACTGACCGGTTCACTGACTGGGCCCAATATTATTTTACATATCTGCCAATTTTAAATTGATACATTCAGTGCCTAAGTCCCCATATGTTTATGCGTTGAGTCACAGAGTTGGTATACGTCACATAACACTTGAATCTTACTTGTCCATTTCTACTGTTCGACTCTCGAAGCAACAAGCGGAAAGCCCCCCCCCCCACCCCCCAGGGCTGCCACTCAATTTTTTTTAATTCCCAAGATTTGTTCAACAAATTTCCCAAGATTTCCCAGAGATCATGAAAATATATGAGTTTTTTGTGTTTTTTTTTAAGGATCTTGGGAATTATTTTTTTTAAAGGGAGTTTTGGCCCTTAATGGGGGAGTGAATTCCCAAGATCTTGGGAAATTACCCAAGGTGTGGCAGCCCTGCCCCCAACAATCCTGTGTGTAGGTTAACGCATTGTAATGTTTCAACTTCCGTTTCTATTCTGAGCAGACGACAAGGAGTACGACGCCTTCATCTCGTACAAGTCGACGCCGCGAGACGAGCGCTTCATATTGCACCACCTCTACCCCAGGCTGGAGAAGGAGCTAGACTTCCGGTTGTGTCTTCATTTCCGTGACTTCCCTCCCGGAGAACGTACGTGTAGGGGTTTTCAAATAAGTGTTAAAAAAAAATGGAGTGGGGGTGTCTTGTTGATATGTGTCTAGGAGACCTGATAAGAAGCCCCGGGGCAAGTTGTGTAAATGATGAAGACTCGGAATGAGGGGAAGTACCTAGCATGTGATCTGAAAATAAGAAACAATTTGTTTATAAAAGATGCGAAATTATAATCTTTTTTTTTTTAATGCTTTCTTTACCAGTTGCCCTTTAAGTGACTCCTGGTAAAATTTAAATTTATATACTACAGATTTTTATTTACACACAAAAATGCGCTATGGCTATAGATGTAAGTAATTGAAAATGAACTGACATAAATAATGTTTCTCAAGTTTCTTTGTCGGTTACCGGAAATTTGATCGAAAGAAATTTCGTCGACGGTAAAATTGATCGACTGTAATTTGATCGAACGGAAATTTGGTCGAAATCTTTTTTTTTTTTTTTTTTTTTAATTCACACGTTAAAATGTTGGTCAAGTTTCTTGTAGAACGCACGATGCTATAGAGTCAAACAAAAACAAAATGCGTTCAAAAAGAAATTTGAAGCAAAATGTTAACTCTTGAACTGAAAAAAATAATTCGAGCAAATTTCCGTTCGATCAAATGAACGTCGATCAATTTACCGTCGACGAAATTTCTTTCGATCAAATTTTCGGAGACGTTCTTTGTCATATTATGGGTTATATAGATTTCAGGAGCGAAACTAAGTTGGGGCAAAAAAAAAACCTCCACCAGGTTTTTGGGGGGGGGGGGCAAAAACTTTATAATTGTAAATTATAGGAAATAATGTATTTTTATGTATGGTGGGGGCGCCGAAGTCACAGGCTTCCTAGGGGGTCCTCGTGCCCAATTTTTGCGCTGATAGATGCCCTGCTCCCCCTACACCCTTTGTTCCCCTCCCGAAGGTATGAAAGTGTTTGAAAAGAACATTGGTCAAACGCATGGGCTAACCTGGGCTCCAAAAGTGCTTTTCTTAACATTAATTGAATATGATGGAGATGAATAGAGGGCCTCGGTGCATTACTTTTTCCATTGATCCCATCACTATCAAAAAGAAAATGCATTGACTTGGCGGGATTGATTAATTTTTAACTTTCAAAAACCTGGGTGGGGGGGGGGGTCGTCATCGGAGTTTCCATTGCCAGATTTATGTTAATGACCTGTTTCCAGGTCGCTCTGACCTTGCTTAAAGTAGAAGGTGCATACGTCCGATCTATTACCGAAGCTTGCATTTTAACGTCACCCTTGAGGTTGCTTCCGTTGGAATTTCTGCATAGGATAGGTCTAATGAATGTGTTATACCACCATGGCGCCAAAGTTGATTTGTGTATATTGCTACGCTCAGCTGTTAACGCAAACATGAATTAGCTTACAACGTATACCTATTATTAACTAAAAGTTCTTATTATATCAATACAAATTCATAGATTATAAAACGTTAAGTTGAATTTAACTTTAAAATAATGAAATGAAGCTGTGAAAAAAAGTATTTTTTTATATAGATTTAATGTCTACATTTATTTTGAAGAGTGATTTCAAAATTATTATTTTTTTAAAATCTTGACACGTTTTTTTTCTTTCTGTTCATCAGCGATAGCCAATAATATCATTCACGCCATAGAGAACAGCAGACGCACCATCATGGTGCTCTCCCCCAGCTACGTGGCCTCGGAGTGGTGCCGCATGGAATACCAGAAGGCGCAGCACGAAATGCTGCGCCTGAAGCACAAGATCATCCCCATTGTTCTGGAGGACGTCAGCAGCATGCCCGAGATGGACGCCAACCTCCGGACCATCATCGACACCGTCACCTACATCGAGTGGCCGGGCGAGGAGGAGCCGAGCACGAGCAAGAGGATCACCAAGTTCTGGAAACTTCTGGAGCTGTCGATGCCGAAGAAGAAAGGTCTGAGCCGGTCCCTGTCCTCCCTGGGGAGCTGCTCAAGTGACCTGCCCTTGACGTCCGTGTCGAAGACGTGCTTCAACAGCATCGTGACGTCACTGCTGAGCGATGACGTCTTCACGAGCTCCTCGCTGAAGAGCTGCACCAGCAGCGTAGGCAAGCTGAGCGTCGGGGGCAGCACGTGCGGCGGCGGCGGCGATAGGAAGAGTAGTGGTGGCGGTGGCAGCAGTGCTGGCGTCAAGACGAACAGCGATGGCAGCGCCTCGACCAAAAACGTGGACAGCGGCAGTGAGCTCAGCCCCGTGTCTGAGAAATCCACCGTGTCCTTGCGTTCGAAGGAGCTCTTCTCCGAGAATTTCGTGAGTTCTCCATTGACGCATGTTGTCTGCCGTAACGTCAGTGTTGGTCTCCCACGTCCACGGACAGAGACTGACCTGTGTAAGAAAGAGGTTGAAACGACGAGTGGCCCGGGCACTGGTGCACGTAAGGGCTCGGTGCCTCTACACGTGGGTCAGTCCCCGTCACAGTTGGGCCAGTCGCCTGAACATGTAGGCCAGTCGCCTGTACAAGTGGATACGTCGTCTCCATTGGTGGGTCAGTCCTCAGCAAGTCCACCCGTTAAGAACAGCCCTGTCGTCGTCAGGTCCAAGCCTCAAGTGTCCAGTGATGATTTCATCGTGGAGATACGGGAAACTGGGGCACAGGGGAAACAGATCAAGGTGACCAGTCGACCTCCTAGGAAGTACGCCAGTCAGTTGTTAGTATGATGATAAATATCAATCTTAGAACATTTCTATGGACGGTCTTTGATTAATGCCTTGATGGTGCAATGCCTTGGCAGTCTTTGACTTTGGTGGATGCCTCGACATTCTTTGGTGGATGCCTCGACAGTCTTTGGTGGATGCCTTGGCAGTCTTTGGTGGATGCCTTGACGGCCACATTGAACATTGATATAAGCTATAGAAAGCACACTATGCTCTCAAAAAGAACCGCACACAATTCCCTTGACTCTTGAACGAAGGCAGCTTCGTCTGTGGTGGTTGGTGGGACTTACGTATCAGTGGACTTTATAACCAATTGCAATGCATGGTCGCTAGAACCTTTAAACTCTCAACAATAATCCTCTTACAAGAAAAATGTAGGCACTCGCTTTTTGAGATGAGCGCCTTGTAAATCACGAGGTACTGAGAATACTTATTGGAATTAACGCGCCGACGTCATCTGTTTGTCGGGTACTACTTTTTTTTTTTTTTTAAATCCTTTACACAAGCGTGACTTTTTGTTTGCTTAATACAAAATGTTCGGACGGATAATTGACCCCCTTCCCGTCAACCTATCCAGCTGAAACTTTGCACTGACTCGTTGCCGTATACCACACGTTCTCTCAAATTTTCAGCCTCTCACGAGGTACTGAGAATACTTATTGGAATTAACGCGCCGACGTCATCTGTTTGTCGGGTACTACTTTTTTTTTTTTTAAATCCTTTACACAAGCGTGACTTTTTGTGTGCTTAATGCAAAATGTTCGGACGGCTAATTGACCCCCTTCCCGTCAACCTATCGAGCTGAAACTTGGCACTGACTCGTTGCCGTATACAACACGTTCTCTCAAATTTTCAGCCTCCCCCCCCCCACCCCAAACATCAAAATAAATTGTTTTTCCCAATTTTTATTATAAAGGGGAAGATGAAGGAAATATGACGTCACTTATTTAACGACATAAAATTCCCGGTAACTGCGCTAAATGAGATTCTTTTGTTAAAAAATCATCACAAGCGCGTTTGGTGCGCATTAGTTCTAAGTTTTTTCTGAAATAGTTGGTGAAATAAATCTGCTGTGTAAAAGCGGGTGGGACATTATAATATGGCTGCAGCTATTCGGACCATGGTGAGAGTTTTGGTTTATTAAAAAATATTTAAAAATTATTGTAGGATTTGTAAGACAAAATAAGGTATCAAATGAAAGATAATTGAATGGAATATATTTTTGTAAACGTACTTTTTTCAGTTTAACTAAAACTGTCCCAAATGACATCCGAATAGCATTTAGTCAAAATGGACCCGACACGCATCGCCGCTATTCGGACACGGGTTCCTTTAGACTCAATGCTATTCGGATGTCATTTGTGGCAGTTTATTTTAGTTAAACTGAAGAAGTAAGTTTACAAACATGTAGTCCATTCAATTATCTTTCATTTGATACCAAATTTAGTCTTACAACCTAACAATAATTTATATGTTTTTTTAAATTTTAATCCCAACCTCTCACTTCTCGGACCTTGGGTCCAAATAGCCACTTCGTTATAATATATATATATAATGCATAAAAAGGACTTCTACGAAAGGCTTTGTTTTTAAGGGTTGTTTAATCTTTCTATGGAAGTACGTTGAAAAGACTGCAATCATGGGGGAGACTTAACAGGGCAGCTAACCGTATAGAGGGTGCGCATGGTTGTAGCGCATATAGTAGACATTAATAATTACATCTTTAAATGGTAATAATCAAGTGTGAAATGCTGAGGAAAGACACTTTGATCGTACAATGAATAGAATTATGTCCGTTGCCGTCTCTATACCGTTTTCTCGGCGTCTAATAATGTTTTTCAAAGCCATTGCAACGCGTGCAAAGATGCTGTCATGAAACGATTAGCTAAGAAATGAGGCATTTTTAATGACACCAACAGGGGCGTAGGTGACTTTTTTGTTGACAGGGAGGTCGTCCTTTGAGCACTCATCGGATTTGGGTCATTAAAAAAAAAATAATCTTGACGCCAGCAGTGGAGTCCAGACCCTGGGACACCCCCCCCCCCACAAGCAACGCCCCTTGGAGAAATTATTTTTACAGTTTTGTTATTAGGTGACCATAAACTATTCAATGTTATCAGTTATTTAATTTTTTTTATTTAAATTTTTTGTTTTTGTTTTTGTGGTTGGGGTATGATTTAGTCAGCATTATTTGTAAACTTGTTAAACCCATTACTTACTATCTTTGAAAGTTGAATATGTGTTATTGAGTTTTCTCTAAATGTGTGAAGTTCTCTTTTTGAACGATATGTCTTACTTCAGGATAAAGCTTTAAAATGTTCCTCGCCAGGATCGGGGAAGGGCTCCCCAGGCTGCTGCAGCTGACCTAAGGCTGTCTGTCCATGGGGGGGAAATTTCACGTCCTGATTGTTTTAATCATTTTAATCTACACATTCATTTTGAAGATCTGTGCATCAAACTGTAATACTATGACCTGGACTTTATTTGTCAGAATGTAAATAACTTTATACTTAGATATCCATATTTGTATAGGAACATTTTTATATGATATTAAACTTTATTACCAGTGACGTGTATTCCAATAAAAATTCATTTTAAATTCACATGCTACATGCGACGTCAGGGAGTTCAGAATTTGGTTAAAACAAATACATAATTCAAACGCTCGAAACGCACAAACAAACTTTATACATGACTTAGAGAGGTGCGCAAGATAAACCTGGGCTCTTAACTTGTGGTTCATGGACCCACCTGGGGTTCAAGGACTACAATATTGTTTAAAAGAAAGAAAAAAAAAAGTCACAGGGAAAAAAAGCAGGAAAAAGTCACGTGCAAACTTTTACTAGCTGCAATTTTATTTGTAAGACCACATAACTGTTCATGATACATTAAATATCAATAAATGGGAACCAAAATTCACAGGAAAAAAGGTGCTAGAAAAAAGAAGAAAAAAATCAAAATCAGACGCATTTAATAATAATAGTAATAATAATAAAGTTCATTTCAAAAACACACTTCATCCCCAAAGGCTCGAAGCGCGGTACAAAGTCAACAAAAAACAAATCTATAATTTACCACATTTAAAACAAACGCAACACTACAAAAACTAATTACAAGCATACAATGTCAAAGTCTTTCTAGCCATTTCAACCATAAGCAACACAGCCATTAATGCATTAACTGGAAAATAAGGTAGACAATCATCCCAGAAGGTGTTTGCAAAAAAGATGTGTCTTTAAATCGGTTTTAAAGGACTCCAGTGTCTGTTTTTTTTTAATGAGATCGACAGGAAGGTTTATATGCATTGATGAGTACCACGTAAATGAAGTCACAGATAAGAAGTCTGGAAGTAAAGCATGGCAAAAAAATTTTTATATATATTGAAATCTTTTTATAAAAGTCGAAAGAGCACACCTTAAATTCGGACCAAATTGGGAAATAAATGGTTTTCTTAAAATATATTTCTGTCCCATGCCTCACTGACAACATTGAGGCCCATCGATGCTTTGTCTGGAGTCTGGATAATGTTATCACTACACTGATACCACAATGCAATGTTTTTCTTTGATTCCTTTATGATTTGACATGTGTCGGTGAGATCAGAGGCGATAATCAAATGACCAATCCTTTTGGACTAGAGCTTAATCTCTACCCAATCGCTTACTACCATTTATGGTATTTCAACCTCTAATATTCGCGTTTACTGGTTTCATGCATAACCATGTAACTAATTATACATAGAACACATAATTAAATATGTGATTATAATATGTATATTTCACACATAGAAAACACACATACTTATCCCAAGTGAGAATCAAACCACGTTCCTATTGAGCGGTCTCATATTTCCAATTACCGATATTTAGTATATAGTATACATTTATATGGACTGACAGTTAAGATGCCTTCTACTACAATTGTTGTACGGGGCTGTATTTCCTGTGACTTTTCTTTCCTAGCAAAAGTGTGACATTTTTCCGCGTGCCGTTAGAGTCACAAGTCTTTCTGTCATGTGTTGAGTTAAAGTCGCATACCAAGTCTTTCTGTCATGTGTTGAGTTAGAGTCACATACCAAGTCTTTCTGTCATGTGTTGAGTTAGAATCACATACCAAGTCTGTCTGTCATGTGTTGAGTTAGAGTCACATACCAAGTCTTTCTGTCATGTGTTGAGTAAGAGTCACATAACAAGTTTTTTCTGTCATGTGTTCAGTTAGAGTCACATACCAAGTCTTTCTGTCATGTGTCGTGTTAGAGTCACATACCAAGTCTTTCTGTCATGTGTCATATTAGAGTCACATACCAAGCCTTTCTGTCATGTGTTGTGTTAAAGTCACATACCAAGTCTTTCTGTCATGTGTCGTGTTAAAGTCACATACCAAGTCTTTCTGTCATGTGTCTTGTTAGAGTTGCATACCAAGTCTTTCTGTCATGTGTTGTGTTAAAATCACATAACAAGTATTTCAGTCATGTGTCTTGTTGGAGGATACCAAGTCTTTCTGTCATGTGTTGTGTTAGAGACACATACAAAGTCTTTCTGTCATGTGTTGTATTAGACACATGCCAAGTGTTTATGTCATGTCTTGTGTTAGAGCAGTGGTTCTCAAATTTCCTAATGTCGCGACCCTTCAGTACAGTCCCATTGTTGTGGCGACCCCAACTACAAAATTATTTTCGTCGCTACGTCATAACTGTAGAGTATATGTGTTCTCTGACGGTCTTAGGCGACCCCCTGGAAAAGGGTCGTGCGCCCCCAAAAGGGTCGGGACCCACAGGTTGAGAAACCGCTGTGTTAGGGTCACATGCCAAGTCATTCTACTTAGTGTCGTGTTAGAGCACGGGTTCTCAACCAAAATAATTCATGGTTCGGGGGTCACCACAACATGACGAACTGTATTAAAGGATCAAGGCATACGGAAGATGGAGAACCACTGCCCTAAAAAGGAAAACTCGGGACTAAGTCGTTTTTCATCTCGGCGAAGCCTTTGTCTTAGCTCCAGCA